TGTTTTGCACAGACAATAAATCCTATAGCTTTAAATAATACTTTTATATCTTTAAATATATATTCTTAGTGATAAAAATTATAATATTCCTTATTGATATGATATCTCCCCTTTTTCTAAAACAAATCTAACAAAAAACAGATGAGCTCCACAAAGTCAATGGCCAACTATGTTTATTTTATGGTATAGGAGTAGTTTAATCATATTATTATGCTTTATTATGGACAATTTTCTTGTTCCTTGGTTATACGACTGTAGATTAAAGCATGTGAAGTCAGTATATAATATGGGATATATATAAACTCAACACTAATTATTACCATCCTATATTCCCCCTCTGGCTAAATCCCACACCATAACTTTTTCTTTTCTATTTTATTCCCTGATTTCTCATTTTGTTTAGGTTTAGCCTTGCACAGGTTGTTTGTTGTGAAACTGTGCAATGGTCCTCCAAGTGTCAACTGCATGACTCATTAAGAGAGTGTTTGGGAACTGATCCAGGCCAGCAATCTCGCCATTTTCATTTTTGCTTTCATAATAGGATTCCAAAGTTTCCACAATCCTGAAAAGACAGAATGAATACTAAAATATCTATTGATATATTATATTTTTTGTCTGGGTTGATCTGGAAAACTTGAAAAAAAAAAACCCCAAAAAACATGTTCCTAGTAAAATATCGGCAAATAAACCCGTCGAGGTCTTGTCCTTTTGTGTGTTTTTCAAAATTGGCGAAATAAATTAAATGAAATGTAAGTGAAAACTAAATTGTTTCAAACTTTGTCTCTTTAGAAGCTTGCTTAATCATTTTAAATGAGAAATTCAAGTTTCTGATGCCTTGTTCAACAAACTAATTTTCTCAAAGATCGTCAGAGGAGCTTGAAAGAAAACATAAAATTTTATTTCTTACTTAGCAAATGGTTTTGTCAAAATCATCCAGGGAGAGAAAAAAAATAACTTTTAGTAAAATGTAAACAGTAATTGTAGTAATGGGATTATAAATGCTTCAAATTATTATAATTGAGAAAGAAATTTCAAGGCAGTAACGGGAAAATTAAAAACGAAATTTCCATTTTTTGGTGGCGGAGGGTGTGCTAACTGGCCAAAAATAAAATTTTTTTTTTATTCAAGATCATCATTGTAAACAGGCGGAGGGTTCGCTAATAAGATCTTACTTGGTACTTTTTATTTGCCAATGGCTGGAAAATATTATCTTCATTGACTGAGAACAGTTGACAAATTCAGATTTCACTACAGATGGCAAATCTTCAAAATATAGTTTTGTGAATTTTCATTCCTTTATGTTCATATTTTTTTATCGATTTCATTTATTTTTTAATAAGTTTCATATGTTTATACAAATTGCTTTTAATAATGTTAACTTCAAATTAAAAATTGTTTTAAAAAATTTAGTTCAATTTATAAGTTTTTTTATCAGCTGTACTTTTTAATGTTTCATTTTTTGCATTTCGGTTGCTTTTGATGATGGTGTAAGAGCAGTTTACTGTTTGGGTTCATGCCTTTTCTTTGCTCCTGGCAAGATTGTACTATTACTTTGCCAAATAATTATTATTGTTGTTATTGCTGTCATTATTGTTTTTGTTATTGTTGTTGTTGTTATTGCTGTCATTATTGTTTTTGTTATTGTTATTGTTATTGATCAATTGCATGTAGAATACTGTAGTGTACTCGAGTTTGGAGCTCATGGCTCCATCTTTCTTCAGAGTGTCAATGGCCATATATGACATAACTAACTCTTAAATTATTGTTTAATTACTCACGGCCAATTTGTCCTGTCTTCTGTGTTTGTGGACTGGTAACTTAAATTCAGAACAATATATTCAAAAAGCTCGGCGCATAGCAGATCTACTTTGATGTGTTTTAGTTGATCAGTGAGATATTTTCTTTGTTGGCCATTTAAATTTTCTCGGTAGTCTTCACCAATGTCATCAAATGGATCCTGAAAAAATTATAACAATATTATTATTATT